CAGACGACACAGTGTATTACACATTATCATATGATTGGCTGTAAAATGAAGAAATTTAAAATATAGCCAATCGCGTGATAAAACGGCGTCTACAATAGAGATTTTAAGGCCTAAGCTTTAAGAAATTGACCAATCACAGTCAAGTATGAGGAGAATACTCGACTGTGATTAGTCAATTTCTTAAGGCTTAGGGCTTAAACCACCTATTGTAGATCGGCACTAAAAAGAAATCTTAAAACCGACTAAAAGATATCTAAAAAAAATCTTTAAGCGCGGAAACGCGGATTAGCGTAACGCGGAACGAGAAGGGAACCAATCGCGAGCGTAAAGGGCATTCTACAATGGCAGTAATAAGGCTGTAGGAGTAGGAGAGTATACTTTTAAGAGCAAATGGGAATTGCCCATTTCGTTACTCCCCGTCTAATCATCACTAAAAACAGTATACTCTCCTACTCCTACAGCCTTGTTACTGCCATTGTAGACGGGCCTTAAGAGAAGCCTTACAGACTTCTAAAAAATGTCTACTATTAGCCATCTTATTTTATAATTTTATTGATAAAATTATAATAATCATTTAATAATTTAAATCTTACTTACTTAAAAGTTATTTACTAAAAATTATAGCAAAATACTTTTACCTAACTTAAAATCTTCCTGTCTTATTTTATTTTTATTTTTTGAAATTAATTTTATTAGGTATTCATGACCAAAAACTTTTGTCATAAATTATGAAAATTATTAATTACATAATTACAACAACTAAGAAGACGTTAAAAATCATATTATTTTGTGATACTCCAATTTTTTTTATCCAGATCTATTTATTTGATTTTCCAAGCAATGTAAACATAAGAAATGTTTTCTTTTTTTAAGTTCTGATAGTTTCATACTACTATTATACAGCCAAAAATCCTCAAAAGAGAGAGCACAAGTGAATATTATTTTTATTATTCATAATTTATTGCTATATGTTTATTGTATTACATTATTTTACATAGATACATACATACATACGTATATATATAAGCATTTATAATGTTTATCTTTTTCTTCCTTTTTCTTTCCTTCCCTATATTCTTATTTTTATGTGCATAATTCTTGTCACCTTAGCACTGTTTCTTTTGTTGTTTCCATATTGATTAGCGTATAATGTATACAGAAGTGGCGTTAAATGAGAATACAAAGGCGTTAACAATAACGAAAATTCTCTTAGAAGAGAAGAAAGTCCAAAAAATAAGGTTCAAACAAAGGACACACGCGTAACATGTCACAACTCACGGCTGTACTCGACGAAGGCTGTAACGGAAGTGTTAGCGGTATCGCGTGTGTCGTGTGCATAGACATAGGGCGTTTTCCAGCAAGGTATACAGACGATACAGTGGACTACACATTATCACGCGATTGGCTATATTTTAAATTTCTTCATTTGACAGCCAATCATGTGATAATGTGTAATACACTGTGTCGGCTTTGTACCTTGCTGGAAAACGCCCATAATATACCAGTAATACTGGTCCAGTATATTTAGACCAAGTGCTGAGGAGTGGGGACCACAGTACACGTAGAAAAGAACATACTCTGTTCCGTGTCTCTTGCGTTCTCTCTCACTCGCATGTGTAGCGAAACGGCGACTAATGCCCAACCAGCCATAAAAGAAAGAAGAAGAAGAAGCTATGTCTATGGAGGATACTCCTTAGAACATATATAAATGGAAGGGGAATAGCAGGCTGAAAAGTGTCGAAGGAAGTGAGAAAGAAATCGTAGTTGCCTCTCTCTTGTGAGTAACTACACATACAAGCATTGTGTTTGTAGTATCATACTTTTGTGTACACACACATGGCCGCGCATGCGCACTTTTGAGCAAAGTAACTCACAAGAGAGAGGCAACTATGATTTTCTTTCTTACTTCCTTCCGACACTTTTCAGCCTGCTATTCCCCTTTCATTTATATATGTTCTAAGGGGTCGTTCCCACTGAGCGCGTCTCGCGTCGCGTGTCGCGTCATGCGTCACGTTACAAGGTAGCCAATCAGAACGTCTGTTTTATTGCATCATCTCCGACGCGACCTTCTTGCGCGACGCGTCGGTTTGGTTCGTTTGGTTGCTCGACATTCTCGCATTTGCCATAATAACATAATTTCATACATACGTACTATACTCATTCTGTTTCAATCGTAGGTCTCCGATATTTAATACACTGTTTTAGGTCATATACTGTTTTACAGAAAACAGATAATCAGATTTGTACTATATTTTAATTTAAAAGTTATGTTTACGTTTATTGCAACCAATAACCTGGCGAACTAGTACATTCTGCGCATGTGTTGATTTGCCGCGACGCGTTCAGTGTCACCTTAACAAAAAACGCCATGTCTTGAACTGCCGTCGCGTCGCGTCGTGACGCGACGCTTGACGCGCTCAATGAGAACGACCCCTAAGAGCGTAGCGAAACAGTACGCTATGCTACGTGCGAGCGAGAGAGAACGCAAGAAGCACGAAACAGAGTGTCCTTTCTACGTACATCTTTACCCCCACTCCTTAAATAAAGGCAAACGCTCGGTCTAGGGCCGAAAACAAAAAGATGGGAAGAATTAGATGTGCGATTAAGCGATCCTGTATTAAAAACACTTAAACAATTAAAATTTCTCGATATGACACCAGTTCAGGTAATAAACATAATGTATATGTATGTGTAATGCATTAGAAAAATGTTATTAAAATATCAAATATTACAAAATAGTATGCTTTTGTAAAATAATGACATAATGCTTATTATGTTATCATGTTAATTGTAAGCAGCTTGTATACCGTTATTATTGAATGGTAAAGATGTTGCAGCAGAAGCAGTTACAGGCAGCGGAAAGACACTTGCTTTTCTTGTTCCTCTATTGGAGATATTACAAGTACTCTTTTATTTGTTATACAAATTTATTTCAGTAAATGTTTAGAATATGGAATTTCTTACAGATTTTTTTAAGCTTGATTGTTTATGCATAATTTTCTTTATAAAATGCATTCAAGAAAATATTATTTGTATATTTAATTCTAAAAGATTTTATAATTGTTTAAAAATGTCAGAGAGAGAGAGTTAACAGAGGTATAGATTATATTATATACTCACAGAGATTATTTTTTATAAGATATAAACTGATAGATAAAATAAGTTATAAAAATAAGTTATATATTTAAAGCTAAGATATTATTTTTATATAACATTTCACACACACACACACAGATTATACACATAATAGACAAAAAATTGTTATTCTAAACATTTATCTTAATTTTTGATAACGAATTATAAAGCATTAAGAAGTTTTCATATGTTAAAATATCTAGAAACGACCAGAAAAATGGAAAACTATGGAAGTAGGAGCGATAATAATTAGTCCCACAAGAGAACTAGCTACACAGATTAGTGAAATTTTGGAAAAATTTTTAGAAAGAATTCCATCATTGAAGCAAGTATTGTTAGTTGAAGGTGTGACACTTAAGGAAGATGCAGAAAATTTGAAGAAGGGAGTGAACATTATCGTTGCCACACCTGGCAGATTACAAGACATTTTATCCAATTATAGTTCCATAAATTTGAGTTTGTGTATAAAATCTTTGGTAATGAAATTACATCTTGTAATAAAATTATTTATACGCAGTCAGAATTCTTGGATTAATAATCAAATATATTGTTATTTTAAGGAGTTTCTTGTTTTAGATGAAGCAGATAGATTGCTAGACTTAGGATTCTCTGCAACTTTAGACAGCATTTTAAACTATTTGCCACGTCTTAGAAGAACAGGATTATTTTCTGCAACACAGACGAAAGAATTGCAACAATTAATTAGGGCAGGTCTGAGAAATCCAGCATTGATAGTTGTGAAAGAGAAATCTAATGTTTCAACGCCTGTAAATTTGAACAACAGTTACACAATTGTTCAACCTGAACACAAATTATCAGTAATGATAGATTTTATACGTTCAATAGGATTTAAAACAAAATATATGATATTTTTATCTACCTGTGTGTGTGTGGATTACTTCAGTCAGGTTATACAAGTGTAAGGCACATATTTTACTTAAATATTAACAAAATATATATTATTTGCTGTTAAATTTCATATACAAAATGTTTTATTTTATTTAATTATTAATGTAATATCTTTGTTACTTTTAATTACAATAATCGTTTCTTTCAATCAAACAATCTCTCTGATTAATTTTTCCATATTAAAAATAACAAATTTTATGGTTGAGTATAAAATATATATATGTATATATACATGTATTTACAGATTATTACCATCAATAAATGTGCTAGCTTTACATGGTAAAATGAAAAGCAAGAGATATAAAGTGTTTGATCAATTTCGACATGCTGAAAATGGCATTTTAATATGTACAGATGTAATGGCTCGTGGAATTGATATATCTGAGATAAACTGGGTGTTACAATATGATCCTCCATCTATTGCTAGTAGTTTTGTACATAGGTAACAATGTGGATAATATAAGGAAATAATAAGTATTAATATTTCTTTTAAAGATATGTTTTATCACATTAAACAATAAAATACTATAAAGTCATGTTTGTTGTTAACAAATATAAATATTTATTTGCTGGAGATATAAGGATTCGTGGAAAAAATTCATGTTCCTGCTTGTGCGATTGCTATATTGTAAAATTCGCACAAAGCTTTATTTATGCAAACACGCACACAATCGAACACAAGATCCGCTTTTACAAGGCCCGCGGCTGTTTTGTCATGTTAATTATTTATTCATTTATATATTCATATTCAATGCACTTATATATTATAGATTAATTCTTAGTATTTTAAAATATATCATTAATCATTCTTTCACTTAAGCAAAACACATCTATCTTACAATTTGACAATATTAAATTCTTTGTTTGTTTCATTTATAATCCTTTTTTTACATTTCTGCACACGAAATTTTTTTATTCTTTTCATACTAAATATATGTGTTGGAAGCTTATGTAAATTATATTTTTTGCATGTTTAATAATTTACTAGTAGAAGTAACGAGTCAATATAATAAAAATGAGTCCCTTCCCATATTTCCAATTAAAATATCATGTATAATTACATAATAATTCGAATAAAGCGATAACCTCAGGTTAGGTACACCTTGATTAACCAGATATGCTATGACTTTCGGTGACATTTACTCCTTGTGTCGACGCTGTTGGTGTCGGACTAAGACTAATATTAGGTTCTGACAAACTCGTGAACCCTCCACTGCCTTTATCGAGATTTTTTTTTTTTTTT